CCTTTACACTTTCATATAAACACTAGGATCACCTTGTCAGTTGTCGCCTGCAGAAGGTTTATTGGAAGTGTCTTGGAGATGCACCTGTAAAGGAGTGGGGGAAGCCGGGTGGGGAAGTTGGCCCATAAAGCAGCTGCAACCAAGGTCTCAGCAGATATGGGGGCACTGGAGCTGGGGTGGCCATTTAGAATTGTCCCAAATTGAGGTGAGGGGACCAGGCCTTTGTCCCCCTGTATCAGCCAGAGATGGCTGAGGGCCATCTCCTGAAAGGGCAACATAAACTTGGGCAAGGCAGTTTCCTGTGACTGAGGGCAATGCCCAGTGAAAGACACAGCTGTGAGCTGTCAACAGCTGATATTCCCAGCCACTGGGGCATGGGTGTGTTGGCCCTGACATGGACTGACTCATGTCCACAGTGTCCCCTACATCTACCCCTGTGCTGTTCCAATTTACTTGCTTCCTAGGTAAGTTTGCCCCATTTGGGAAGACCTTCTCCAGGGTTCTGAATGGTCTTACTTCCTGGGAAACTTACAAAAGAAGATTTCATTGATCTTGTGGCCATAGGTGATGTTCACTATCCCCCACCTCTATCGTCCACTCAAGGCTCCCCTTACACTCGGCTCACACCTCTGTTAATTCTAGGCAGCTTTCTTGGTGGGGTGAGCTAGACTCTCATCGCATATGGGTCTGGGCTTCTGGTTACCAGGCTCTTCTCAGGCTATGATGGTCATATTTGCTTGTTTACCATTAAAATTGGATATGGGAGCATCAAGATGAGATTGTAGCCAAGGGGACTTAAGTTTAGAATCATGGGTCAGCCTCATGATTCTAGAACATGGTAAGGCTGGTCCTTCTGCATGCCTGCTGGCATGCTAGACCTTGCTGATCTCTTCCACCGACAGCCAAGGCAGCCAGCCATCTCCAATAGGAACTCATAAGGAGCTCACGAACAATCCAGAACAAACTCCATCAGACCCAGAAAGTCAGCCCTTCTGTGGTCATTCAAGATGAAATCAAATTAAGGAATAACCATAACCCAAACCTTACTTTTATTTTTTCCATTTTCAAATCAGTCACCTGGGCTTTATTTAATGAGTTGCATAATACAGCTAAAGTTCTGTCCTAGGCCTTAGGTGAAAAAGAAAGAACTCCAAAACAGACTCTCTACTCCTGAGGCTTATAGCTTAGAATAAGGGTTGGCAAACTAAGGCCCACAAGACAAATCTGGCCAACAGTAGCAACAGAGACCCATGTGGCCCAAGAAAATAATGAAAATATTTACAATCTGGCCCTCTAAGGAGAAAGATCACCAGCTTCTTGTTTAGGAGGCTATGAGCCCAGCTTGTCCGTCACTAGCTACTGTAACAAACAAATCCAAACTCTCAGTGACTCAGCAGTTACAGCAGTGAAGGGTTACTTCTTGTTCATTTCACTGTCAAATGCAGGTGGGGGCTCTGCTCCAGGCAGTCATTCAGGGAACCCATTGTAGTAGATGCTACTAGGTCATTTCTCAGTCCTCCTTTATCAGGCTGGTACTCCCATCTCGCAGCTGTTGTAAATGTTGGCTCCCGATCACACCATTATCCAGCTATTTGCCCTGAGTCCAAGGCAGCCACTCCCCCACCCCAGAAATGCCTGAGACGACGAGCAGCCTTGGGAGGTAGCCCAGAACTAATGACTGACTGACTCAGGGTGGAGATGCCTGTCTCCTTGGCCTCAAGTGGACACAACTCCGTGGAGCTGTTCATCTTCCGAATCTCCCTGGAGAATCAAAAGCTAAATTTCATCTTAAGTCAGAGTTTCCCCTTGACTTATTCTGCTTCTCTCTTTCCTCTGTTAGGTTTCACAGTGGGGGCATTCTGTCACTCAATCCCTTGCATGGGAGCCCCCACCTCAAGCTCTTCTTTTGGGGAACTTGATCTAGCTTCTAACATGTTGTAGCATTGCTATCTCCAAAATGTGTCTTCGAGGTCACTCTGGCATCATCCAGCCAGCAGGCAGGAGAAAGTGCGCGAGAGAAGTCACCCTCATTCTTCACCCTCTCATCCCTCTGACTCACATTTGGTGAAAGCTAGTCTCTCATCTAGATAAAAGAGGGCTTTGAAATTAGTTTAACTGTGTGCCTAGGAAGAGGAAACAGTTTTGGTGAGCATCTGGCCGGTCTCTACCCCAAGGCATATGTCTGAAACCATTCCAGAGTGAAATCTCAGATCCAGATGATACTGCGAGAGCAGGTCACAGAGCAGAACCTGATTACTTTCTTGGTGAGTGGAGCAGCCACTGGGGCTCCCACTTCCTGGTGGAAATCCTCTCCGTATTGGTCTCCGAGCAATCCTCTCATGACGGCGACCATCACAGAATCATCTCCCCAGCACCCAGCCTAATGCATGCATGAGATGTAGAAGGAACTTAATAGATGTTTAGTGAAAAAAAAAAGAACACAACACTGTTAATTGGGACAGTCCAGCAGAGGGGATGGGATGAGAGCTCGGCCTTGGAATGGTGGAGCAGATTCGCAGAGGCATGGAGGGCGGGCAGGAAGCATCCTCCCAGGCAGAGCTGATTTGCAAACGTTGGCTCCCTGAGTAAGCAGAGCCTCCAGGGAACAAATCTACTCTTTTATGGCCCGCATGTTCTTTCCCAGATGGGTGGCAGCCACATCTCCAAGACCTCCAAATAAATAGCTCCCTCTGCTCCCGCCGACACAGCTGCCCTGTCTGTTAGCCGCCGCAAACGTTCGGCTGGAATGAAAGTTGCTCTCTCCGCTCTGTCTCACTTCTAAGGTTGTCTCGGTGGCCTCTCTCCCCGGTGCTGTGCTCTACATTCTTAGTCTGTTTTGGTCTCTCTGCCAGCTCATTAGTTTCTGAGTCTGGATGTTTCTTGGCTTGATAATCAGTGGCCCCCTTGGCTGGGGGCCTGCCTGGCTCTCATTAGCAGCTGTAGTCCTAGTGGCGATCACAGGGAACCCCATAGAAGTCACATTTGTAAGTATCTGCTGGAATGGTAACAGGACCACGCAGACGTGCACAGAAACGGTAATTAAAAACATCGCCTGGTCATCAGCGGTGGCTTGCCCTTAGTGAACTATATTAAGACAAGATCCAAAGGAGATGTGGGTTTGCACTGAGAGCTAGCAAGGGGCTGGAGTACATTCTTAATGAAAACCAGGCGCTTTGGGGTTAAATCTGGCGTTATCGTCTTCAGGATCTTGTACTTAATTTTACTAAAACCTCTGCGAATCTTGTCTTATTTGTCAGAGACAGCTTGCCATACCCTTCCTGACGTCAGGTACCATGATTTGCATCCTGGAACCAGGCTCACATATGCCTAACTGTTGGCAAAATATTTTGAATGCCATTTTTGAAATTCCTGATGGAAGAGTGTCTACTGCCCTGGAGATGTCTCTTCTGCATATTCTTAGAAACAGAACAACAAACAAGGACACTTGGAAAAAAAAAAAGGGCGGCTTTCCGTGATTGCCAAGTGAAATACAACTTTGTTATTGAAGGCTCTTGCTCCGCCTTTGGAAAAGCTGGGATTACATGTTCTTTTCTTCAGTGTCTTAAACAAAAGTAAGACGTTGGCTTCAAATTAATCCACGGAACTTTGAACTAAAATGAGGTTCCTTTCTAGAATATCACACTAGAGCATAACACAGTGGGCTGCCAGAAGCTGGAGCAGGGGGACCCAGAAGGGGCACAGTCGCCCCACGGAGGAGTTTTGGACAGTTCTGCTTTCCTATTTCTCAAACCTGGGCTCCCCGGCTGGCCTCCATCCGGCCCCCAGAGGTGCTCACCCTCCAGGATGCCTTGTGGAACCACATGCAGTGCCTCCCAGTTGACATACCGCTTGGAGTTCCTGAGGACGATTCAGATTCAGACTTGGCTGTTCTCCTTGGCCTCATCCACACGCTGGCTTCCTCGGCCCCTCCATAAAAAGAAAAACGGGGGCAGTGAACCTCTGTCTTTTGTTCACTGAAGAAATGGGCTGGGGGACTCCAGGGTCCGAGGCGTGTGGATGGTGTCAGTTGGAATCCCCTTCTGGCCTTGTTTAGCTCACTGTGAATGTCCTGCCAGCCTTTTTGTCCCCAGAGATGCCCGTGCCCATCAGTGCCCAACAATAGAGTGGCTGTGTAAGGGGACAGGGGCCAGTGAGGCTTCAAGAAGGCTGAGAGGAGGGGAGTGGAGACTAGCACGTAGGAATGGAAACTATATATCACCTACTTTCAGTTCCAGCCTCTCTCCTCCTACCCAGTGGCAGGGTGGCAAGATTCTTAATGATAATTTTGAAAAGCATCAGGCCTCTGCTCATTTGCACATCATGGTGTCTAATTTGCATACCAGATCCAGGAGGCCCCGGCTCCGCATATGGAAAATGGAACACGGTATAAATAAGATAAATGGATTAGGTCAGCTGACTGCAACTGTAGCCACAGCCGACCCACGGGCACAGTGTGCACAAACTACGGAGGAGGTTTGTCAATCAGGCAATTTATTCCCATCCTGGAAGTGGAGAAGCAGGATGCGCGCGCAGCACGCACGCTCGCACGCTCGCAGACCTGCTGATAATTCCCGCTGGGAAACAGGCCATCAGACAGTCCCTGCACGGGGCTGGCGTGGTCTGCCAGCCCCCAGTCGAGGCGAGGGGAAACTTGGCAAGGCCACCTGCCCTCAAGGACCACCGTCAGAAAGAAGGTTTGTGTCCACAGACCGTGGGTGGTCAATCGAAAGCCAGTCTCCTTGAACTTGCTGACTTAGCGAGAGAAGAGTTGCTGCAAGGAAGGGGCTGGGGTCCTTTCAGGTCTTCTCACCTGTGCTTGTCCTCAGACACACAGCCAGCCTGGGGCAGTGGTCGAGGCCGGCCAGGCCTGAGGACACAGGATGTCTTGGCTCCTTCTCAGCTGGAGAAAAAAAAATCCCCCTGGCAGCTGGCCACTTTCTCCTGCCTGCCTCCCCCGCAGCCCCTCCTCTGCCTGACACATGAGTCTCCGAGGCGGACCCACACCCTTTCCGGACACGGCCATCCATCATGGTAACGCCACCCCGGGCGGTAGCAGGCGGCTCGTCCTCTTTATCAGCACAACTCCGGAAGCGAGGTGCGGGCGCTGGGCTGCTGCAGGGGGATTAATATGATGTGATGTGCGCACCTTTTGCAATTAGTTAATGGCTTGGCTGTGTGGGGTAGGCTTCTTTGGCCTTCTGTCTTGGGATTAATGACCTCAGATGACAGATGGAAACTTAAAATCGCTCAGGAAAAGAAAACAAGCTGAGGGGGTGGGGAGAGGAGTGGGTAACGTGGTCCAGCTCCTGGTGGGGGCTGGGGCAGCAGCGGAGAGAGGAAAGATGGCCTGGGTCAGTGAGGAGGGAAGGAGTTTGATCACGGAAGTGCGGCGGAGATTGCTTTGCAAGCTGTGTGTGTGTGTGTGTGTGTGTGTGTGTGTGTGTGTGCATGTACATGTGTGAGTGTGTGTGTGTGTCTTTGTGTGTTCGTATCTGCGCAGGAGCGGGTGTGGGGTGTGTGGGATGTGTGGGTGTTTGTGTGCTCAGGTTGGGTCTTGGACACATAGAGGCCAGACAGGCTCTGGCTCAGGGTTGAACCCCACCCCCTTACCAACCGCCCTCTTGGCCCAGGGCCCCTTACTGTTCACAGCAGGCCATCCATGGGATGTCTCCCTCTCCAGGGCTCCTGGGGCTCAGCCTGCTGCCCTCTCCCTGTGGTGGGGCACCCTCCTTCCCCAACCCAGGCTGGGCTGCCGGATGAGTCACAATTTGTCCTCTTGTCTGTCTCCTAGAAGGAACACCCATAGAACCTTCTGGTGTCAGGGTTTCAAGGCCAACCACCAGAAGGGAACAGAGAGGAGGGCAGGGGTGGATAACTACCCTGCGGCTAAAGATAGGGGTATTCGCGTATTAATGATCCAGGAAAAGATTGAGGGTAGCCCAGAAATAACACAAGCAGGCACTTCAGAAAGGGTCAGGGTTTCTCGAGATCCTAACAGCAACTGGGCACCTTTGAGGCCAAGATTGCACCGGATGCCCTGGAGGGAGGGGTTTAATCTGCAGCCTCTCCTGGATTGACGCTGAGGCTACCAGTAGTCCAGAGCGCATCATCCTGTTCTGGGGCAAAGGTGCTGGAATGACTTTTCTCAGCTGTGCAGGATAGGGGTTCAGATGATAATGGGGTCCCCAGTGACTCACTGGCTCTGCTCCTCCTGGGAGGGTGGGTGTACACAGCTGCTCTGCACCCACAGAACAGGCAGGATGGCTGCACTCGCAGGCTTTCTGGCTGGAAGGGGGCTGTGGGGGAGGAAACATAATTTTCACTCTACCCTTCTAGGATCTTGGCTGAGACAACCCCTCTACCCCCACCTGCCATAATAGAAGACAGATTAACGGGAAAAACAAATGGAAGTTTAATAATACATATACCTCCTGTATACATGGAGGAGACCCAGGAATACTAACTCCCTGAAATGGCCCAAGCCACCACCTTAAATCCCACTTCCAGCTAAAGACTAAGGAAGATGCTGGGGGCTGGAGGTGTGGCCATTTATGGGAGGTGACCAGGAAAAGCACAGTCAACAAAGGTAAGGTTGTTGCACAGATTTAAGTCCACGCCTGCTTCATTCAAAGAGTTTCTAGAGATTTAGAGTCATCTTCCTCTTCCCAGGACAGAGAGGGATCTACCCTTGAAAATGGAGATGTCTCTTGTGCATGCAAATGTCTCTTACAAAACTTCTACTCTGTTTTCAGAGCATCTTCTGTGACTGTTGTTTCTTAAAAATAATCAGCCTAAAATAATCCTGATGCCTAATAGGCATATTTTGGGCTGGCAAACTCGGCTCCCCTTCAGGAACAAGTGTAAACATTTGCATCTGAAAGTTACAATAATAGAAACCAGAGGGGTCCAACCTCAACTTCATGATGGTGATGGTGGTGGTGGTGGGGATTCTCCAAGCTGATCACCAGCCCCCTGGGGCCCCGGGGCTGGAACCCTGTCACTGGGCTGAAGGTGTGGGTCTGACACTGGGGAGCCACACACTAGATGCCCTGCACCCTGCTTGGCAGAGGCTGAGCAGCCTCGATCTCCTTTTACCCCAGAACCATGAGAAGACTGGCCTTTTGGGCGGAATCAGCTTCCCTTTTTGTGGTGACAATTTTAGGAATCTCCAAGAAGAAGGTAATTTCTCCTAAGTTCCATTTCACTCAAGGATCTTAAAGTTGCATGAAGGTGTTGAGGAGGAAAACTTTTTTCCTCTACCCTTCTAGGTTCTTTGGCTAGTCTAATGATCAAATGAACACAAGACAGATTAACAGGAGAAAAACAAATTTCATTTTGTACCTAAGGGATTCCCATAAAAATATAAGACCCAAGGGCAAGGAGGGCAGTTGAGGTTTATATGCCATCCCGAGCTAAGGAATGGGATAGGGGCCTAGGGTTTCCAAGGACGGGAGAGTGCTTCACAGGACAATAAGAAAAGCAGATGTTTGGTAATTAGATGTTTGCCCGGCCATACAGATAGGTCACTCAGATAAAACTTACCTTTGGTAATAGCTTTTTCTCTCTGAGTCAAGCCCCCCTATCTGAATTCTTTTAGGTAGTTAAAAGGGGAGGTAAAAATATCTTCCTGAGTCTTTTAGGCCTTGATTGTCTTCGGCTCAAAAAAGTTCATATGCCAAAGTGGCACGTTTTGGAGAGGCTCATTCTGTACCCCTTCAAGGGAAAAACCCAATTCAAATAGGCAATTGCAAAACAGGCAATTTTTGTTTTATATAATTGCCATGGTTTGGAGTTCAGGCATGGCTGGATCCAGGAGCACACATCATATTGTCAGCTCTCTCTCTCTCGTCCAATATTCTTGACTCTGCTTCTCTCTGCATTGGCTTCATTCTTTGCTGTTGCACAACAGGTCTCTCCACACAGCACAAGAAGTTGCTGCCTTCAGAGCCTTCCAGTTTTGCCCCTCATGGAAACAGAGATTCTCTTTCCCATGCAGTTGTGTGTTGGGGTTTAATGACTGACTCTTTCAAATAAAAAAGCTCTGATGTGTAGCATTTGCTGATTTCTCCATACTGCAAATATTCTCATGCTGGTCCATTTCAAGGCACCCAAGAGCTGCACATTTTTGTCTCTGACAAGCTGAGGAAGGAGGGGTCCAGCACAGTGCTGCTTTGGTGTCTGCACATTCAGCCCAGGAAATCAGTCTAATGGCCCATGCTTGGCTCTCAGGCCCAGCCCCAGACTGAGCTCCATGTCCTGGGGAATGGGCTGTGCTGATTGGTCAGGACGAGGTCACTTGTTGCCTGGTGGCTGGAGTTGAGGAGGGGGCATAGGATGATGGGACCGAGAGTCAGACTCAAACCACACGGAATGGGAGTGGGGACCCCAGAAGAAGGGGCCCAAACAACCTGTGTCCCCAGGAGGCCTTTTCCGCTGCTGACACTCCCTAGGGCATCTCATGTATTACTCCAGCAGCTGCTTAGTGAAGATGGAAGACAGGAGAGGCTGTTAGAGTGACATTCACAAAGCAGCAAGCCGAGGAAAGGGCTATTGCAGACAAAGAGCCGGATGAGAACAAGAAGGGGAAGAGGAAGGCAGCTCTTGGATGGGTCTCAGCCCATCAGGGGACCGAAGAGGGGGCACGGTTGACCCAGTTTGGCAGGGACCCAGCAGTATTCTGTGTTCATTTCCCCTAAAACAAAGATGTCAGGCGGAGCTGCAGATTGGCAGGGCTGCCTGCAGAGAGGCAATGTTGCGTGACCAGGAGTTGTGACCTCCTGGCCTGAGCACAGGATGTCGCAGGACCCCAAGGAGTGGTTGACTCATCTTCCCAAAGGAAATGGACCAGGCATCCAGGTGCAGCTAATCGGAGCATGTTTGTTCACGCATGCATGTTTTCCCCTTCGTGTGTGTGTGTGTGTGTGTGTGTGTGTGTGTGTGTTATATGGACTAGGGAGAAAGAAGGGACT